TTGTGAGTAAAGGTGAAGCTGATCTACAAGAACTGGTATGTGTCTCCTCCCAGTGCAGGAGGCTGGGAAGAGCTGGTGGATGCATTGCTCTCCCTCTCCAGCTGTGTTCTTTGTTCTTCCCAGCAAACTCCATCCTTTATTCACCTGCCAGACTCCCCAGATTCACTTTGAGAGAAGTAGATTTCCTTTTCTTTCAAGTCTCTCCCTCTCAAGGAAGAGGGAAGGGTTCCTGCCTGACTCAGCATCTCTGATAGATGCTGTTTCTCTTGGTCTGATGTTTCTCTTCTCCCTAGAGCGGAGAAACATCTCTGCTCTCCCCAGACCGTGACTGTTGCCCAGGCATTTGAATTTGATCCTTGTTTTAGGCTTTATTCTCCTGGGCAAAATGTTTTTAGTGGATTCTGTTACTCTGCACAAAGAATATAAAGAAATCTGTCAGCTCTTTTATCCCCTTGGACTCATGTCAACCTTAGGAGGAGTAGATTAGGGCACTTAAAATATTTAGCAGAGCTACCTTGTGAAGCCAAGTTTCCACTGTGTCCATATGCACTTTGTTTCTGCCTTTAGGTCCTCTCCATCATTGTCACTGCTCAGTAGGTTTGACTCGATCATCGCTGTCCTTAGCAGAGCTGGGGCTGTTTGGTGGTCCCAGCCTGCAGGGGAGGTGGTTGGAAAAGGTAGTAAAATCTCAGGGCAAGTGTCTGTGCTGGAAGTGGTTTTCAAACTTGCAAAAGTATTCAGAGCAGAGGGATCATCTAACTTGTGCCCACACCTCCAAAACCAGGGAGAGACTTTCCATCCGAGCCTATGCTGTTCCCATCCAGCTGCTGTTCAATACCAGCTGCTCTGAAGCTTTGGAAAACACTCGAGTTGGAGCAGTAACAGTGTGATGCAGCTTTAACCTTCTCTTTTTTTAATCCCTTCCCTACGTAGATTAAGACCTTCATCCATTCAGGGAAAAATGGCAAACAGATCGGTTCCACTGGAAGCCTGAGCGTGGATGGGACAGCTCACTATGTCAGGCTGAACCTGGGCTCCTCCTCCTACTTCCTTTTCTATACAGGTACAGTTCTGCTTGTGAATTCAGTCTGGAAGAGTGATTATATCTGTGAAATCAGGATCACTAAGCAGTTGTGTAAAGGAGTGTTTTACA